TTTTATTTATTTATTCATGAGAGACACAGAGCGAGAGAGAGAGAGAGAGAGAGAGAGAGAGGCAGAGACACAGGCAGAGGGAGAAGCAGGCTCCATGCAGGGAGCCCGACGTGGGACTCGATCCCAGGTCTCCAGGATCAGGCCCTGGGATGAAGGCAGTGCTAAACCACTGAGCCACCCGGGCTGCCCTATAGTCCACCTTTAACTGAATTTTTACTTTTATGGATTTGAGTATGCCAAGTACAATTTAAGGCTTCCTATTAACACTTAACCATGAGCTGTCCAGTTCAAGATTGTAAAAATCTATTCTAATACATTTATATAGGAAAATTGTCTGTCTTCATGTTTGAACCCTTATTTACTACCTCTAAGATGAAAGCTAAAATATTTTTTTAAAGATTTATTTATTTTCTTTTGAGAGAGAGCGAGCATGAGTGAGAGGGGCAGAGGGAGTGGGAGAATCTCAAGCTGACTCCGCCCTGAGTTCAGAGCCTGACAACGGATTTGATCTCATGATCCTGAGCTGAAACCAAGAGTCAAGACACTCAACCAACTGTGCCACCCAGGCGCCCCTAAAAATGTTTTTACTTTAAGTTCTAAGATGGGCGCTGAAAATATCCCCTTAATGCTGTCAGTGAAATCTCCATATATTTTAATAGCCTTATTTAAAAAAATCAATTCCCAACTAACTAGTAACTGACTTTTATCAGATATCAATTTCTAGAAATTACCTGACATCTACTCCTAAACATGGTTTGTTTTGGGGCTCCCTAATAACCTGTGGTTAATAGAGTTTACAAACGGGAGGACAAGTTTTCTTCATTGCACTTTCCATTCAGCCCTGAAGTTTGTTTCTGCTATTATTGAAAATAGACCTAGTCTATGGTCATATTGCCCTGAAAGTGTCCCATTTCGTCTAATCTTGGAAGCTAACCACGGCCCATCCTGCTTTAGTACCACCTTGGTTAATATCTGGATGGGAGATCACCTGGTAAAACTGGGTGCGGTAGGCTTTTGGGATAAAAAACGGGGAAAAGAGGGAAGAGGAGTAGGGAAGAATAAAAGAAAAAGAAATTGAAAGACAAAAGAAAAAAAGAGAAAAGCTAAAACAGGGTATATCTAATCTAAATAGAGTTTTGAAATTTATTTCAAGATCTTCTCCCTATTTCTTATGTATTGAAATTCTACCTCATGGTCTAATAGATACCTAAAATGGAATATATTTTTTTAAAAAGCCCTGATGGCTCCTCCAAGTCTCCTCCACACACAGCCTCAAAATCTCAGCCCATAGCATATCTATGCTTCTGGATGCTCGGGACAACATTTTTGAGTCATCCCATCTCGTTGTATTGTGTTCCAACAAGGCTGCTCTTTGAGAGTGAGCAGGGAAGAGGAGTAAGGAGAAAGAAACCAATCTCTATTCTTTTGTAGGACCTGGGTTGGATCCTGCTGAGGCTGTGCCACCTGTTCTGGTTGCCACCTCTCATGATCCCCTCTGGCTACAAGCTCCTATGCCAATAGTAGTAGCACTGATAGCGAAGCACAGGTGGGATGAGTGGAGGGTTTCCCAGGCCCTTTTCCACTAGACCTCCACCCCCACCCATATGTATTTTGTGCCCCAATATAGAGGAAGGTTTTTCCTGGACACTTCATCTTTCTCTCTCCTTGATGTTGAGTCTGGGGACCGTGGAGGGTCACTTCCAAACTAAAGTACTAAATCCAGGCCAGAGGTGATATGGGGAGGTTCCCACTTCAGGAATCCAATGAGATACAGTGTGGAAGTATAATGTGTAATTTCTCAGAATCCCACTGACCCTGTGTCATTTGCATGGAGGGAGCCACAGAGAAGAGCAGAGCTGCAGAGACCAGAGACCTCAAAGTGCATTCTACTTGGGCCCTTCTCCAGGGCTGTGACCTGAAGTAAATCTCCTCACTGCCCTTGCTATATATTTTCTTGAGTATAGAATGGGAATACTAACAATCTCCCTCCTTACTGGAAACTAGGGGAGTTCTTGGGCCCTGAGACCTCAACCACCAGCTAGTGCCAGGCTCTTGACTTCCCCCACTAGAAAGCATTCAAGGATGAGTCACAGTAAAGTATGACAGAAAAAGCTTTATTGCAAGGTGAAAGTACACACTCCAAGGGACACTGAGTATGCGCCCACTCGGGAAGATCTGAGCCATGCCAGGTACATACAGGGCTCTGATTCTTAAGGGTGGTTATTATTTGGGTGTGGACTATTCAAGTGGGGTTCTGGAATAGGCATGGATTTCTAAGAACTGTACATATCACTATGCATGCTATTCTAGCTACCATGCACAGGCGCAGTCTGATTTCAGGCTACCTGGGCGTTTGTGCACAGTGTGTCACAACAACTGTCTGGAGCAACAACTTGACTTAGTCATAAATGGCTGGATTTGAAATACACCAACAAATCCATAACAATCCATTTTCCTGTTTAAGGTAATTACTTGATTTTGGAAAGTGAGTCCACTAAACTGTTGGGCTACAATAATTGCAGAAATGAGGGGTCTCTTTGGATGTAAATGGCCGAGAGGCCCTGTGTTCTCTTATTGTAATGCTAATCACCGTCAAGACTTAAATATTTTATTCATCTGTTGTCCATATGGGTTGCCTCCTTCACTTCATTCCAGACTCACTCCCATATCCTCTTCTCTTAGAGCCCTTCCTGGGTTGCCCAGTGTAAAGTTGCCCCAAATTCTAGGGTCTTCCCTCTGCTTTGCTTTCATTTTTTCAGGATCCCTAGGGCTCTTTGACATTCTCTTCATCATTTATTTAGTTCCTGTGTGAAGATCTGACTCCATCAGTGCAACTAGAGGTCCTCTTCATGTAACTCCACATTATCACTCATCACAGAATTATTTTGAACTAAAGGCAATAAGCAGCAGCAAAAACCAGAAAAACACTCTGCTCTCCTCCTATTTGCCTAAAAGCTGGAAAGAAATTTACTAGGACTAAATTTAATCACCAAAGACAACTTTAGACCCTTATCAGCCTGGCGACAGCACCATAGGAATTTACAAAACACACCTTACTAACTATCCTTTATCTATCTGTGCTTGCCTTCCCACAATATGCCACCCCTAGAGACTCAGGTACTTTTCCCTTGTCTTGCTACTTCTCTAATATTGTACTGTTCGTTAAAGATGTTCTGTAAGACTGAAAACAAATCCATGTCTTTGAGTTATTCAACCCAGACTCTCTCTCATGTACATATGAGATATACATACTAATAAACTTATGGTTTTCTTTTGTTAATGTCTTTTGTTATAAAAGTCTGAGGAGAGGGGCAGCCCGGGTAGCTCAGCAGCTTAGCGCTGCTTTCAGCCCAGGGCCTGATCCTGGAGATCCGGGATCGAGTCCCACGTCGGGCTCCCTGCATGGAGCCTGCTTCTCCCTCCGCCTGTGTCTCTGCCTCTCTGCCTCTCTCTGTGTGTCTCTCATGAATAAGTGAATAGAATCTTAAAAAAAAAAAAAAAAAAAAAAAAAAAGTCTGAGGAGAGAACTTGGGATGGGTAGCAGAAAACATTTTCATCCCTTTTATCTCTACATATATGTGATGAATTGCAGACATGACTCCCCTGCATTATGCTTGTGGCCCTTCTAAGAAAGCACAAAGTCCCCAGGCCTCTGCCTTGAAATCCCTGCAATTTCCAGCGCCCCTTATGATACCCAAGACCTCTTCTTTTCCCGCACATGACACTAAGGACATCCTTCACAACAGGCCCCTGGAGTAATGGGACCTATATTAACCAGAAAACACTGGTCCAAGGACAGGTGAGTTGCTCCAATGAAAGCCCAGCAGAGGGGCAATTCCCTGCCTAGGAATGATGTTAGGGCAGGACCGCCCCCATTCTCCTCCTGGTTTTCTCCATAGTGCCAGGTAAGGATCAAGGTGATTGACTCCAGGACAGGATAGGGATCGCCCCACCCCCAGAGGCCCCCTCCTCTCTGCCCTGCTCCAACCAAGGACTCCGAAGGTTGGTGAGGGGATATCAAGTGCAGGACAACCGCAGGAGAGCCATCGGGATCTGAATCTGATTTGATTCTTGGTTAACGACATTGAAGCAAGGAACAGGGAGGGAGGCCTTCTTGATAGGACTCATGGCTGCCTCTGCCAATGGGGAAATCATAGTCTGGGATAGTACTTGATCCTGTCTGAATCTGCCAAGCGTATTCTGGGCGATGTATGCTGAGTAACAATTAGAGAGGTGGAGGAGATAAGTATGATGTAGGGCAAGGAGGAGCTGTGGCTGTGGGAATGCAGTTGCGAGAGGTGTGGCAGCAAGAGTAAGGTGCACACGGAAAGGGTCTGTGCACTCATGACCCAGGACCCCCATATTGGCATAACAGTAAAGGTGAGCCCACGTAATGGAGGTGTCTGGGAAAGGCGACCTGACGAACCCCAGGAGCACTGCCTGGAAAGAGGGGGTGTTGTGGCAGTGAATGGCAGGGCCAGAGCTTAGGTGCCATCTGTCGGCCCACCTGCCTATATTGTTGAGGCGTGACACAGTCACCAATGGGACCATGAGATACTAATTGAAATAAGGTAATGTTTATTAACTTCCACTAAGCGGGGAGGACATCTTGTGACGTAAAGACACTATGGAATGATGTATTTCTTTGGTTTGTAGCCTTTAGGATCATCAGAAATATTCTCGGCCTCCAAGAGACCGCGAATTTCGCTGGGTCTGAAATAAGTATCCAAACATTTGGGTGATCTGTGGCAGGGACCACTGCGCAAGACTATGATAACATTCTCTCAAAGAGGAAGCGAAGAACAACAGAATCGGCCTTTTCAGACGCACTAACCTGCAGGACTCGGGCCTTACCTGCCAGATGTCCCTGACCCCGGCCTTCGTAAATGCGGAGACTACTTTACCCAAAATGCCCGGAGTCGAGTGGCAGCGTCGCTCTCCAATGACAACTTAAAGAAAGGCTCTTCCGCGTGTGGCCCCCATCGCGAGGGCGGGACTTCCTGCTGTCTCCTCAGGGCGGCCATGACAGCTGCTCTTGTTTTGGTTCACCTGGTGAGGGTCTCTGGCGTTCTGCGTTCAGATTGATCTGACGCAACAGAAGGGGCGCGAGGAGCCGCTTACCCTGCTGCACCGTTGCGAGTCCGCGGCTCGGAAACGCCGCCCGGGCTGCCCCGCGCCGGGGACAGAACAGGGACCCCCGGGCCGGCTGTCCGCTCCCCACCCCGAGTCCGATGACGGCGGCGGCGTCCAGGGCCCCGACGCAGGTAAACGCTCGTCCCCTGGGCCCTCCTCGCCCTCCCCGCGCTCCCCCCCCCCCCCCCCCCGGCGCAAATCCTCGAGGCCGGAGCGCCGGGCGTCTGCTCGCGTCCCTGCGGCCCAGGCTCCCGTGTCCCGCAGAGGCAGGCGCGGGTGGGCGGGCCCCCGTGTGTGAGCTCCGGCGCGCTCGCTGGCGTGCGGGAGCGGGCTGCAGGGGAGGGGCACACCTAAGGGGCGGTAGTGAGCGCTGAGGCACACAGCTTGCCTGCCAGCGCAGGCCTGGTCTTCTGGGCCGGGCAAGGGTACAGGGAGCTTTGAGTCCGTGGAACCCGCCGTGGACTCGGTCAAAGGCTGGACTCTCCCCAATTCCCGCGGCTGCAGAAGCGCTTATGGAGCCGACACGAACAAGTGGGAGGTGGCCCACGCCTTCACTGGCCCTGACCTGACCCCCACCCGCTTGTCTTCTGCATTGTTGTGTCCCGGGACTCTGAAGTGCCATTCTGACAACCGGTGTGTGCACGGTTATCCCAGGAGCATCAAACACGGTGTGCACATGCTTGAATTAACACTCAGCTGGAACTGTCTAGGAAACCACCGTTCTTTTTTCTTAAGGGTGGGAGCAAAGAGCAGGAAGGCGGACAGGAATCAGGACTGGAATAACTACCTGGGAAGTTGGGTGTGTCCTCTGGTGGTAATGGGAGGCTTGGATATGAGCAGCCATGTGGTATTACAAGGTCCTGATAGGCTCCATCCCGCCATAGCATGAAGTATACACTATGGGCTGAGGGAGGAGGCAGGACGATCAGGGTGGAGGCTACTGTCATAGGCTAGGTGAGGGTTTTTGGACCAGAGTGCTGGGTTCGATGTCATTGTATTCTGGATATGTGTTTTAAAAAGTGACAACTGTATTTTCTATGTGGACAGAGACAGGGTGAAATGGAGGATTCAGGGGTTATCTCTAGGGTTTTTTTTCTTAGCAGCTGTAGGAATGGAAGCTCCATCAACTGAGATGAGTGATGTTGGTGGGAGATGTTTTGGAGAGCACTGAGTGGATGCATTAAGTGAGCAGTCAAACACACAGGTCTGGAAATCTGGGGAGGGGTTCAGAAGAGAGACATCTAAAACCATCATGGCTCCTGTGTGGCCCCGGGTGAGTGAGCCGTGAGACACATTTGTGAGGAGCAGTCTTCTGGTTATGGTGATAAAGCTCTTCTGGTGCCAGGAAGTTGAGGGGGGAAAGAGAACCAGGACTGGATACTTAGGTGATTGTATGACTTCAGAGATGAGGGATGTGAGTGGCCATGAAGGAAGAGTGCGTCCAAGACTGGATACCTGGGCAGGTGGGCAAGGTTTCCAGCAGAAGAGTAGACAGAAGAGGGATCCGGAGCTGAGGAGGAATTAAGACAAGATGGTGACACTCAGCACTGCGCTAGTGCTTCTCCACTCTGAACTCCACCAGGGTTTTGTGAGGACTTTAGTAGGGCCTGGGGTATTTCATCCTGGAGGAATAAGGTCATGTGTAATGTGCTGATGTGATCACCTGTGAGAGTCACTAAGCTTGGGGTAGGCCACCCAGCAACCTTGGCTTTGGATGAGGGTCAGGACAGAGGGAGACTGTGATTGCTGAGGGGACAACAAGTGCAGTACAGGTGGAGGAGGACCTTGAGAGGAGGTATCTTCAGATCTACATACGGTTCCTAAAACAGAACAGGTTCCCTGTTATGACTTTATGTCTGGTGAAAGGTGGAGGAACTCATGGTGTGAGTATAAGTTCTCCCCGCTCTTCTGCCGTTGACAAGGTCTCCTAAAGAAACAGCCTTTCATCAAAGGTGTGTTTCCTGCTTATCCCACCCCCCCCTTTTTTTTTTGAAAGATTTTATTTATTTATTCATGAGAGACACTGACAGAGAGGCAGGGACATAGGCAGAGGGAGAAGCAGGCTCCCTGTGGGCAGCCTGATCCCAGTCCCTATGGACTCGATCCCAGGACCCCAGGATCACGACCTGAGCCAAAGGCAGACGCTCAACAACTGAGCCACCCAGGCATCCCCCTCCTTATCCTTTGTATGGGTTTCAGGTCCCTACCAGCCCATGGAGTTATTCAGAAAAGCCAATCACATCCTCTTACAGGAACCAGGAGGTACCTCACCCTCTTGATCCCACAAAGCTCAGATCCTACAGCTCCCGGCTGTTCACTCTTTCTGAGAGTGCCACCCCCATGTGGGCCTGTGTGGGGTGTGGTGTCCTCCTCTCCCAGGCTGTGAATATATGTGATTAGTAAAGTGCTATCCGTCTCCTCTGTACAGGGTCAGGTGTCGTGTGTTTGGCCATCCCCATAACCCTAAGATGAGACTCCTGCACTCACCAGTGGGTTGAAGAGGAGGTGATTAAAATACAAGTAACATGTGGGGAGGCCAGGGAGATTCCTGTGGTGTGGGACAGTGAGGCAGTGATGACCATAGGCATGTGGCCTTGGGCTCCAGTCTCAAGAATGTTGTGTACTTGGAGAGGGAGTATGCCTGGTGATGCCAGGGCCCTGGTATTCAGCGGAATAGCCTGGGTGGCCGGGAGGATCCTTCTGTGCCAGGTCTGCAACTTAGATGTGTACTTGTCCACCTGCCTCTTGTTGTGTCGGCGGGCCCTGTGATCAGTGGGCCCATGAGGAGACAGTGGCGCCATGGCACCCAGGCACTGGGGCCTGGTTTCTTCTGTCAGATGGGGAGATCAGGGGGAGGATGGGCATAGGGTAGATGTGGGTGGGAAAAGGGAAATGGGTTCTTGGGAGAGGGGCTTTTTGTGGTTTCATCTGTCCCCATCATGCCAGGGCAGGGTGACCTTTGAAGACGTGGCCGTGTACTTCTCCTGGGAGGAATGGGGTCTCCTTGATGAGGCTCAGAGATGTCTGTACCAGGATGTGATGCTGGAGAACTTGGCACTTATAACCTCCTTGGGTAAGACCCTCAACCCCACCCCTGTGCCCTGAGCTAGTCTCTGCCCTTCCCTTTGTCCCCAGGAGCAGTCTGTCTTTGCATAGGGGCCATGAGCATTGCTTCCTTCCCCCGTTCTAGGGGTAGGTGCTGTAGTTGCTAAGGCTGAGGTCAGTGAACTGCCTTCCTTCCTTGAGCAGCCGCCCCAACACTAGCTTTCCTGCTGCCTTTCAGGGAAGGAATCGGGGTCAGGAGTCTTGCAGTGAACCTAATGGATATCAGCTTTCTTGCCCTCTCCCTGACTGGGTGACTTTGTCTAGATGCAGGATATCTGCATGCTCCAGGTCTGCTGCTTTTCTCTAGCTGAGGCTTCCTCGTGCCTGCCTATGTCAGGACTTGCTGTCTCTGACAAAGTTACTACTTCTATGGAGCATGGGCTGTTCTCGTGAGACTCTGTCCAGACTTCTCTGGGGACTGTTTAGTTCTCTTTGCCATGGGCTGTCGTGTGCTGCGTTGTTCTGGGATACTGATGGCTGCTCATCTGTCCTGTCTTTTCCTTAGCACTTGTATCATAAAGTTGCCATGTACTTGCTGATTATGGGCGTGGGGTTGGATTGGAGAACCTGTGGTGGTTCACAGTGGGTACATTGACCCACATACAACATGATGGCTCAGAGGAAGCCAGGCCTGCAGTGGTACCTGGGGGAGATGCTGTGTGTTCAGATCATACCAGAAGCCCATTCTGTTTGACTAGTATTTTGATGCCAGAGTCCACATTTCATTTCTATCTTTTCTTCCCCTTTCTTGGCACTTTGCCGACTTGTCAAGTCTGTTACTTGTCACTTCTACTCTTGCTTCTGGCCTGAGGTGAACCTCACATTTCTGGGATCCATCTCTCACTTGTTTTTCCTGCTACTCCACCAACAGTACTTTGCACATTGGCTGCTGTATGTCAAGAGGTGTGCCTGTGTTCTTAAGCAGTCCTTGAACACCGCCTGCCAGGTTCCAGTCCTATTTCCTTGGGTCTTGACACACCCTTCTGCATGGAATAGGTGTGTCAGTAGGAGATACGTTTCTTTGGAAAGTTGTTTGCAGAGGAATGAATTGCAGACCAATCTCTCTCCTCTGTGTCACACCACATGCTTGCATCCTTCACCTCATGAGGCCTCTCCCATTCTGTGCTCTTTGTAGCCTGCCACTGCTAAGCAGCCCCATCCTCCCAACCTGAACCATCTCCCCAGTCCTGCAAACAATCCCATTCACTGGTTCCTGGGTTTGTTAGACACACATTTGTAGCTCGTATAGGAGCTGCCCCCTCCCACCAAAGGCAGCATGCACTTCACCAGCATTTCTTGCTTTCAGGTTGTAGGCTTGGAGCAGATGAGGAGGAGGCCCCAGAGCAGAGAGTGTCTGTGCAAGGAGTGTCACAGGTCAGGATTTTGAAGGCAGTTGTGTCCCCCCAAGAGGTCCATCCTCGTGAGGTGTGTGGCCAGGACCTGAGAGACATTTTGCTCTCCACCGAGCACCAGGCAACACTTTGTGGACAGAATCACTACCAGATTGGGGCCTGTGAGAAACAGTGGTATTTTGGTGCAAACCTTCAGCACCAGAAGCAGCACACTGGAGAGAAATGCTTCAGAAGCAGCATGGGCAGAGCCTCTTTTGTGAAGGACAATGAATTCTGTGTATCAGGGAAACCTTTTTCCTGTGGGGAGGTTGTGAGGGACAGCTTGGCCACCTCAAGACTGCTCCAGCATCAGGCCACACACACCAGGGAGAAGTCATGCAGGAGAACCGAGTACGGGGCATCCTCTCATGGAAGGAAAGCACAACACAACTGGGGAAAAGGCACGCAGGACTTCACTTGCACACATGCACTTGTTCATCCCCAGAGAGACCTCCCTAGAGAAAGATGCTTCATGTGCAGTGAATGTGGTAAATCTTTTAGCAAAAGCTACAGCCTCAGTGACCACTGGAGAGTGCACACTGGGGAAAAGCCTTACGAGTGTGGGGAATGTGGGAAGTCCTTCAGGCAGAGCTCTAGCCTCATTCAGCACCGGAGAGTTCACACTGGAGCAAGGCCTCACGAGTGTGATGAATGTGGGAAATTATTTAGCAACAAGTCCAACCTCATTAAACATCGGAGAATTCACACTGGAGAACGGCCCTATGAGTGTAGTGAATGTGGGAAATCCTTCAGTGAAAGCTCTGCACTCCTTCAACACCGCAGTGTTCACACTGGAGAAAGGCCTTATGAGTGCAGTGAATGTGGGAAATTCTTTACCTACCACTCCAGTCTCATTAAACACCAGAGGGTTCACTCAGGATCAAGGCCCTATGAGTGCAGCGAATGTGGAAAATCCTTCACTCAAAACTCCAGCCTCATTGAACACCGTAGAGTTCACAGTGGAGAAAGGCCTTATAAGTGCAGCGAATGTGAGAAATCTTTTAGCCAAAGCTCTGCGCTGCTTCAACATCGGAGAGTTCACACGGGAGAAAGGCCTTATGAGTGCAGCGAGTGTGGGAAATTCTTTACTTACAGTTCCAGTCTTCTCAAACACCAGAGAGTACACACTGGATCGAGACCTTATGAGTGCAGTGAATGTGGAAAATCCTTCACTCAAAACTCCAGCCTCATTAAACACAGGAGAATTCACACTGGAGAAAGACCTTACAGGTGCCACGAATGTGGCAAATCCTTTAGCCATAGTTCTAGCCTCATTAAGCACGGAAAAGTGCACACTGGATAAAGGCTTTAGGAGTACAGTGACTTTGGGAAACGTTTGACGTGTCTTCCATTTCAGTGACCATTCAAATTTTCACATTGAAAAAGGCTTTGTGAGTATTTGAACGTAGGCTAATATTTACCTAGAAGTCCAAGCTCTTACAACACCACGTTATCTCCTTAAATGAAAGCCTGCGAATGTGGTGGAAATTGTGGGAAGTGGCCAACCAGAGGCTAGCCTCATTGCACTCCAGAGAACTCGTAGTAGTGAAAGGCCTTCTGAATGCAGTGACTCTGGGAGAGCCTTCACCCGAAGGACTCACCTCAGAGGATATCACAAATTGCAGATGGGAGAACTACCTTAAATGTGCAGGTATTTATAAGTGGAATGTAACAACACTGGAAGAGGTCCCTTGTGAGGGTGCCATTTGCCTGTGTTGAAGCTCACGCATTCAAACATCTGTATAAATCTCAGGTGTGCGGCAGCTGCATCGTACTTTTCCAACCTGCCCAGGGCCATCCCCATTGTCAGGGCAATTGCTGGGTGACTAACGAGTTGCCTGAGCACTGACTCCTTTCCTATTTTTCCTCCCTGAAGAGAAGGCATGGATCTCACCCAGTTTTGTCCTAGAGGATTATTGGTGATTTGAAAAGGTGGACTACATTATTCGGGGACATTGTGGTCCTTGTGAAACTCTCTGATGATGCAATCCCCCAGTCTCCCAAGTCACCAACCCAGGAACAGTCTGCCTCCCATCGCTCGTGCTTTGTGACAGTAAAGATCGTATTAAGCCACCATTAATCTTTGCTTGTTTTTTTTTTTTTTTTGGTAAGTGTCTTTACTTTTTTTTTCTTTAAGATTTTATTTATTTATTCATGAGAGACAGAGAGAGAGAGAGAGAGAGAGAGGCAGAGACACAGGCAGAGACACAGGCAGAGAGAGCAGCAGGCTCCATGCAGGGAGCCTGACGTGGGACTCAATCCCAGGTCTCCAGGATCACACCCTGGGCTGAAGGCGGTGCTAAACTGCTGAGCCACCCGGGCCCCCCTAAGCCACCATTAATCTTGGGGAGTCTGTTCACTGTGTGTGTGTGTTGAGAGCAACTATTTGCTAGCATGAAGGGATGAACAGAGTTGTGTACCTCAGAAGGGACTGTATGATGGCAGAAGATAGCTGTTCAAAGCCTTTGGCTGCTCAGAGCCTTTAAGGAAAGACTACAGGGCTCTGTGGTCCTAACTTATAGTTGGATGCCAGGATGTTTTGTGGGGTTGGCATTTCAACCCAAAGAGGAGGCAATTGTTGGTTATTTGACAACCTTCAGTGCTTCTGAGCAACGTGATCCTGTTCTCTTGTTCACGGGGGTATGGATGGCATGGTGCTCAGCGCTGGTGAAGGAAATCTATTCCCCAGGCCCAGCAGCAGAGCCACGGGTCTTGGTATCCTGAATTCTGAAGGGTAACATCACTAGTTTTGAGAGTGTAATGCCAGGGGAATGATCATGGTCCCAGAAACACTGGATTAATAGTGCAGGAGACCAAGAAAGTGGTTGGAATGTGCCTCTTTGAGAAGAGCATGCACAATGTTTAGGCACCAGGACTATGAAGGATGGGTAGGTTCAGAAATTCTCAGGACCTCCAGAAGGATCTATCCTGTGTAGCTGAGGACCTGTCAGAAAAAATACTCTAAAGGTTTTGTGGATTCCTTGGTGCCTCTGGGCTGTCCAAAGGCCATTACTGTGCGTGGCAGCAAAACAGGACAGAGACAGGAGAGATCTCTTAGTGCAGCAATGAGGTCTTTGTGACTCAGCCAGTATCCCTGTTTAATGAACTGGAAACACCTTCACTGCTCACCTATTTTTGCTACCACTGAGGCAAGTTCCTTCTGATGAGGAGACAGACGGTGGAGTCACTATGGTGGCAAACTTGTTCTAAAGCGTATGGAATCCAGACAACTTGAATCATATACTTTTCTTAAGTTATAATAAGGTGTAAATGGCATTCAGTGTCCATCATTAAATTGTTGCAATTTGATATTTTGACATTCACATAAACCCATGAAGCCATCAATCATGATTAATAAGCCTTTTCATCACCCCCACATTTACTTTGTGACCTTTAATAATCTCTCCTGGAGGCAGGCATTGAGTTGCTTTTCATTATACTAGATAAGTTTGCATTTTCTAGAATTTCTATGATTGAAGTCTTAAAGCGTTTCGTCCTCCTTTTCCTTGGGTCCCCTCATGTGACATACTCATTTTAAAATTCACCTATGATGCTTATATGAGCAGTCCATTCTTTGTCTCTTTGAGAAGTATGTTTTATCGACAGTGCACTATTTATGTATTCATGTGTTTATGGATATTTTAATTGCTTCCAGTTTGGATGGCTGTAGGTAAAACTGCGGCAGAAGGGGCGCCTGGGTGCCTCGTTGGTTAAGCATTCCGACTTTTGATTTGGGCTCAGGTCACGATCTCAGGGTTGTGAGCTCAAGCCCAGTGAACCCTGTGTTGAGCTCTGCTGTGGGTGTGGAGCCTGCTTAAGATTCTCTCTCTCCCTTTCCCTCTGCCCCACCCTCCCTTCCTGGCGACTGCCCACCTCTGCCCTGCTGGGGCTTTCTGAGTAAATAAATAAAATTGCAACCATCCCCCAAATCCCTAAAAACCCTTCTTAAAAAAAAGAAAAGAGAAAAAAAAAAACTGCTATTGGATTTGGATACCACTGTTCCTATTGGTATTGTTCCTTTCTCTTGTCCATACTGGAATCCCAGTGTAGGTGAATGAATGTATGACCTCTTAAAGAATACCAAATTGTCATGGAAAATGATTATTCCTTTTGTATTCCCACTTGCAGTGTATGAGAGTTCCAGTTCTCTGGTATCTTTGCACAGGCAGAGGAAGTAGCAGGCTCCACGCAGGGAGCCCAACACAGGACTGGATCCAGGGTCTCCAGGATCACACGCTGGCTGAAGGCGGCGCTAAACTGCTGAGCCACCCAGGCTGCCCTTTAGAAACATATTCTGAAGGGGTTAGGCGTGAATGACAATGTCTGGTATCATAAAGAAATCACTAAGTGCATAGGGTAGATGAAAGAGCAACCATAGAATGATAAATAATGACAGAATAACAACTTTCTAATAGTCTTTTCGGTTTTGGGAATATATTTGAAAATGCCATTACGAAGAGTAGAATATGTCCTGTTAGGAGTAATCTGCTTCTTACTGACCTGCTATAAATCAGAGGCTCCCCTGACCCCTCCTCTTACTTGACTGTCTTGCTGGGGTGGCTCACAGGACTCTGGGAAGTATGTTTACCGGCAGATGAAGAAGTTCATAGGGTGAGGTACAAAAGGGTCTCCAGTGCAGGAGCTTCTGTCCTCATGGAGCCTTGATGTGCCACCCTCCAGGCATGTTTACAAATATAGAGGCTCCTCAATTGTTCAAGAGTTTTTATAGAGCTTTAATTTCCAGCTCCAGCACTTTCCCAAGGGGATCAGCGGAGGGGATTCAAGTTCCAGCCCTCTAATCCTGGTGTGTCTGATGACCATTCCCCATCCTGATTAGGGTCCCCCCGCCAATATACCTCATTAGCGTAAATTCAGGTGCTCAAAAGGGGGCTCCTTATGAAATACACAAGATACTCCTATATTCCAGGAGTTAACAAGGGTTGTAGGAGTTATGTGCCAGGAACAGGACACATGGGACCAAGACCAAATATATTTCTTCTTGTATCACATTGAGTAAGTATTAAGTTGGACTGTGATGTGCACAAGAAATCAGCAAAGACATTGCAAAGACAGAAAAAATCTCACCCTGTTATACAAACAGAACCCATTACATATGTATTTTTAAGATAAATAGAACCTGTCCTCAAGTAAGGTCACTTGACAGCACGTTTGTCACACACAGTTTATCCTAACTTTATGTTTGTTTGTTTGTTTTTTCCTAACTTTATGTTTGTAACCGGAGTAGCCATATGTGTTATTTTATTGATTTTTTATAGAGGAAAAGGAAATTTATTTGTATGACAGTACTTTTTGGAATTAAAAAATATAGGTCATGAATGGAGGAGTAAGGGAGTCCTAGTGGCAAAAGATGTGTAGTCTTCAAAGGGATGGGGGGGTACTCATAAATTCTCTAAGCAAAATGCTGTGACAGAAGAGAGGGGAGAATCAACAGGGAGAATTAAGCCTCTCATTTCTAATCTGTATTTCACATAGCTGAAAACACCAAGCTGACATTTTAACAACTGATGGATCTACCTAAGAAGATACCTTACCTAAATAATCTTTCAGGTAGGCAACTTAGAGTCTACATTGCACGAGGTAGCCTATTCATGCAAAATAGAAAGAGGGCTATTGGCTAACCAGAATTGTAATTCCTTTTTGTCCTGTGTATAAACAGTATTGCAGAGGCCACTTAGGAACCCTGGCACTAGGTACTTTATGAAAAGCTTAAAACTTCATCCTTGATGTTTCCTTTTCAAAGCTGTCCCTCTTTATCCTCTTTGTAGACCTCCTTTCTTTTCCTTACCCTTAGGTTATTCCGACTTGGCTGAAACTGCTGAAGTATCCGTTGAGTTTGTAACTTTTTTGTGGGGGAGACCTATTCCTGGAAGATGGCCATTCAACCCAGTTTTTAAAAAATCTCTTGCATTAGTTACTAACCATCATATCAGTAATTCCGAAGGGAATAAGTAGTGTCCTTGAAAGGCCTTGTGATGTGGTTTTTATTTATATTGTGAGTGTCTGTGAGGCAAGAAGGTCCCAAAGTTCTTTACCCTGATATGGGCAATTTTTAGGTAATGTCCCAATAGTTTATGATAGATGTAAGGTAGGATCATTTGTTACCAAGGTATGTGGTCCAATTAGATGACTGCCTGAAGTTTGGCCAAGTTTGTTTTCTTGTCCATCCCATTCTTAGTCTGGAACATCCTAGCTTAGGAGTGGAAAGCAGCAACATTTCACTGAGCTCCATCGCATATGATGGCTGGCAATGCCTTTCATACAAACTCTCATTACTCTTGGCTCATTTAATCCAAAGGGGCTCCCCAGATAGCTGATGTGTTTGGGAAAGAGGTGACCTTCTCCAGTAACATGGCATCTGGCATGGGACTGAGAACATAGAACATCTCCCCCTCTGCAGGTGGACACCTGAGGGCTTAGGTTTAGTTTCATCCCATCTTAAGGAGAACTTGGTAGCTCTTCCAAGCTTGTGGGGGTGCTATTTTCATGATCCAAAGCATTATGGGCAGCTAGGTTGGGAGAGTTGCAGGTTTGGGTTCTATGTGGGGTCTCTTTACATCCAGGAGAGCCCAGTAGTAGCCAGTCATTTATCCTTTAAAGGTGCGTGGTAGAGATGCCTGGGCGGCCAGTGGTTGAGCATCTGCATTTGGCCCAGGTCGTGATCCTGGGGCCTAGGATCAAGTCTTGCATTGTTGGGCTCCCTGCAGGGAGCCTGCTCCTCCCTCTGCCTATGTCTCTTGTTCTGTGTCTCTCATGAATAAATAAATAAAATCTTTTAAAAAATAAAAATAAGGGCAGCCCGGGTGGCTCAGCGGTTTAGCGCCGCCTTCAGCCTGGGGCATGATCCTCGAGACCCCGGATCGAGGCCCACATCGGGCTCCCTGCATAGAGCCTGCTTCTTCCTCTGCCTGTGTCTCTGCTTCTCTCTCTCTCTCTCTCTCTCTCTCTCTCTCTCTGTCACTAATGAATAAAATCTTTAAAAAATTAAAAAAATAAAAATAAATAAAAATAAAATAAAACAATGGTTCATGGTACATGATGCAGAGGGGCAGTTTTTTGTATCAGAAGCCTTTGGACAACTGTCCGCTCTGAGTGTTCCAGAGACTCAAGGAGGCATGAAAAGGGATTACCAGTGCCTCTATAGTGATGGACTCTCTGAGGGAACTACTGGGAGTGCATATTGATTTTAATTTAGTCAGATTTTAGAGGTTTTTGTTGAAGGGACCCCCCCCCCTTTAAGGGGAGCTGATCTGTAAGTAGCATTATCAATGAAATTAAGGACTATTTATAGGTGATGAGTATGTTGCCACCAGAACCCAAAAAGGACTCAAAGACGTTGGACCTGAATGTCCATAGTGTGTCAGGTAAAACTCCTTGAAGAAGGTTGTCATCAATATAATCAATACTGCTGGAAGAAGTAAATGCAGTTTAGACATTGTCTGCAAAGAGTATGTGTTATGGTGAAGCTTTCAAGGTACCCTATAGGTAGTCTGGAAAAAGCATATTTTGTCCCTTTGGAAGTGAAGACAGATAGCAATTTGAGAGGCTGCTGAATTAGGCACTGAACAGACCAATATCAACCAGAGCTTTAAGAATAGAATACTTCCTTGTTATTTCTGTAATAGAGTCAGTAATTTTAATACTGTTGGACATTGAGTGTGGCCCTTAGTGGAATCATAGCATTGAGGTTGTAGTAGTCCATCAATATGTGCCCATTATGTTTTCCAAGATTAAGAATGGGAAAAATTGTTTTTTTAAAAAAAATTTTTTAAATTTTTATTTATTTATGATAGTCACAGAGAGAGAAAGAGAGAGAGGCAGAGACATAGGCAGAGGGAGAAGCAGGCTTCATGCACCGGGAGCCCGATGTGGGATTCGATCCCGGGTCTCCAGGATCGCGCCCTGGGCCAAAGGCAGGCGCCAAACCGCTGCACCACCCAGGGATCCCGAAAAATTGTTTTATATCATAAAATTTAATCCTTGAAGTGGTTTCATGGGGTCCTATCTTATCAAGCCAATTTATAATTGCTGAAGATTTTATTACTCATTGTGTGAAGGTATCTATGCCCAATATGGGATATTTTGGCGGGGGGGGGTGGAATTTAGAGAAGGCTATATAAAGTGAGACATACCTATTATTCTCTTTTATATTACCTTTTTTAAGATTATAGATAAGGCATACAATATTTAAATTTAGTGAGATCTCCAGTTAATATTAAATTAACTATAATTTGGGCCCTAGTATTAAATCCATGATGTTTTGTCAGTGTATTTTTGCAAATGCTTAAGTTATCTTTGGTGTTTGTGTCTATACAACACCAGTTCTAAGATAACTTAAGCAGTGCCCTCATCATTTTGTTATATAATATTTTTAGTATAAAAATGTTACATATTTGCAATGCATATAATATACATAATTTATTATATAAAGTTCTAGTATATAAATTGTACATTTCAAATTATGTACTTTTGTTTTTAGTATATATTATATATACATATATACAACTAACTATATCTATGTTAAAATTGTATATATAAGCATATATAGGTATATATATTTTATATATAAATATACATATAGGTATATACATATTTGGGATGCCTGGGTGGCTCAGCGGTTGAACGTCTGCCTTCGGCTCAGGTCGTGATCCCGGGATCAAGTCCCACATCGGGTTCCCTGCATGGAGCCTGCTTCTCCCTCTGCCTATGTCTCTGCCTCTCTCTGTCTCTCATGAATAAATAAATAAAATCTTTTTTTAAAAAAAGTATATACATATTTAAGTACCTTTCATTTTCTCCTCCTATATCTAGATTTTTTTCCTGTTTGAGACTTTTTTTTAAGATTTTATTTATTTATTAATGAAAGACAGAGAGAAGGAGCACACAGCAGAGACACAGGCAGAGGGAGAAGCAGGCTCCATGCAGGGAGACTGATGTGGGACTCGATCCTGAGTCCTCTATCCTGGGTCTCCAGGATCAGGCCCTGGGCTGAAGGTGGCGCTAAACTGCTGAGCCACCTGGGCTGCCCAAAGATTTTATTTATTTGAGAGAGAGAGCGAGCACAAGCAGGGGGAGTAGCAGAAGAAGAAGCAGGCTCCCATTGAGCAGGAAACTGACTTCTGGCTTGACCCCAGGAACCCAGGATCATGACCTGAGCCAAAGCCAGACGCTTCACCAGCTGAACCCAACCACCCAGGTGCCCCGTTTGAGACTTTTAGCCACCTGTAGCTGTGGTTAGTACTTTTCTGTCTGTAGCTGATAAGAGATAAGGGGGAGGGGCCTGTGCCTCTAGGCAGCAAACTTTCCCTGGGACATGCAGTCAGTTCTCTCTTCCCCTTACCCTTCTTTTATCTTAAATCTTTTATTTTTCGGATGCCTGGGTGGCTTAGTGGTTGAGCATCGGCCTTTGGCTCAGTTTGTGAACCTGGGGTTCTGGGATCGAGTCCTGCATCGGGCTCCCCGCAGGGAGCCTACTTCTCCCTCTGCTATGTCTCTGCCTCTCTCTGTGTGTCTCTAATGAATAAATAAATAAAATTTATTTTTTTTTTTTTGAGAGAGAGCATGAGCATGCATGAGGTAGGGCAAGGGATAGAGATACTCTTAAACAGGCTCCATGCCTAGTGTAGAGCTCAACTCATGGGGGGCTCAATCTCATAACCCTGAGATTATGACCTGAACTGAAATCGAGACTCAGACATTTAAAAGACTGAGCCACCCAGGCATCCCTTTCCTAAATTTCTTAGAAAGACTTATGTCTCTAAGATGGTAAAATTTTCCTTTTTTCTTTTCTTTTTTTTTTTCTTTTGGTCTCTGGTATGTATCCAATTGATTTTTTTTCCTTCTTTGTCCTTTCTTTGAATGTTTACCTGTGAAACTCCTGATCACCATGAGTGGCTTTTATTGTGAGCAGTGGCCTCCCTTTCTATGATGTCTCCATCAACCTCAGAGGGACTGGAGACAGGAGAACAATGGAGGTGGGATCCTGGTTTTTTGAGGAAAAGACTCCTAGTATGTTGATACATGGTGGCACATAGGAGTGTCCCAGCACATTGGCCCAGAGATTTGTAATCTCATATAAATTGAGAAACCTCAGGTATCTTAGAACAGTAACAAAATGTTTCTTCCTCTCTTTTTCATTAAGCATTGAGCCATAAGTCTTCAAGGATGAATGATCCTTTATACATTACATGAAGTATGACAGCAACAGGGCAAGCAACAACGAAGAGATCTGCCTTGGAAGCAACATTTAAGCTTTTTGGGTACTGTGATTTCTGTGAAGAGAAATGTTGCCACTGGGCTCCTTTAGCTCTCTGATAAAACTCTGGTCCAATAAACCAGGGACATCCTCTATAAAGACAGATCAATGTATGATCTTGCTTACAAGAGTCAGGAGAAAACTGGATGGACCACGCTAACTTCAGTGTTGTTAGGTCTACTTACTTCCAACACAGTCTTGAGGGAAATCTGGCCTCACTCCTCAGCCTTTACCTTGTATGATAACCAATTATCTTAGTCACTCCCTCCTAGCATGCTGGAGTAGCATATCAAATAGCACCCATCGGCTCCAATTATATTTCCCAGAAGATTACAGCACCCAAGACTAAATGAAGATAGCCAGAAAGATACATGTCTCTTACAATTTATGTTGGAATACCATGGCAGTGTATACAGGCACAGCATAAAGAAATGGCTGCCAAACTCTGGCATGTTAGTATATGCTTCTGGTGTGTATCTGAAAGGATGACATTTGCTGCCCTAGATTTAGCTGCATTTATTTATCAATAATGCCAGTAGGGGCATCTGGGTTGCTCAGTCAGTTAAGCATCTAACTCTTGATTTTGGCTTAGGTCAGGATCTCAGGGTCATGAGATAGAGCCTCATGTCAGGGAATGCAGAGCCTACTTGTCCCTTTCCCTCTCCTCCTCCCCCCACTCACACTCTCAAATACATAAATTTTAAAAAATATTTTAAAAGATAAAGGGGCACCTGGGTGGCTCAGTCAAACATCTGCTGTAGGCTCAAGTCATGGATCAAGCTCCACATGGGGCTCCCTGCTCAGTGGGGAGTCTGCTTCTCCCTCTCCCTTTGCCCCTCCCCTGCTCATGCTCTCTCTCAAAATCTTTTGAAAAATCTCAAGATTTTTCTTTAAAAAAAAAAGACTTTTTAAAGCATATATTTTGTTCTAAATTATGCACAAACAAAAGCATTAATAAAATTTAAGAGTAATACGATGAAAAAAAGAAATGGGAGCCAAAGTGCAAGTGAGTCATTAGCCAGCCAGCCATGCCTTCCCAGGCATTGTAGGTAAACTGTTAAATGAATCAAATTAGTAAGTCAAGACCAATCAAATGGCATGCCCCTCTGTGGAACAGTCAGTCACCACTCTCCCTACACCAATTGTTTTAATTATACCCACAGGGTTTTAATTTAGAGAGGTGATGGGATAGTGACATGGACAGGTTTGCCTCTGTAAGAAGTTATTATAATTCCCAAGAGCAGGAATATGCCATGCCACACATGGCCACATAGGAAAGCAACAGCGTTAGTCAGAAGGCACAAAGGAGTGAGGACAGAACATGGGCACTAGACTTTCCTACTGTTTCCAAGAGAAAGGCAAGGCAGGATAGGGTAAATCACTTAGGGTCGGCTAATTTGAAAAATTCTGGCAGGCTTTGGGGCACAGGAGTGGTCCCTAATTGTTGCCTGGCCCTGCATTGATTTAGGGCAAGG